AAAAAAAAAAAAAGGAGTGACCATTTTTAAATGAATACAGCATTTATACAAAGATATTTGATCCATTGCACATTTACATAATGTGACACACCACTCATTCATTCAAATATTACTGCTTTGAGATAGCCAAGGTATTCTAGGTTTTCTTTCCCTATACAACTTTGGCAACTGTATATGATCTAATAAAGGTCACTCTACAGTTAAATGTAATTTCCAGATTCACATAGTATATTCAGAAGAGGTTTAAATAGACAATTCATAGATGAAATACAAATGTCTTTTGAACCTTTAAAAATATCCAAACTTGCTAACTAGAAAGCCACTTAAAAACCACAATTAAACAATGGGAGTATATTTTGGAAAATATTTCTTTTTTTTAATGGTAGTAACAGTGGATGCATTGCATATTCTTTGGAGGAAGTATAAACTGGTTCCACAGATCTTGAAGGATCTTAAATAATGATCCTAATATTTTTGACTTAGTAATTCCATCTAGCAATTGATTTTAGAAAATTACCAAAATGCAGGAAAAGATTTATCACTATATTATTTTATGCTAATTGAAAATGAGCAAATGATTTGCCATAAATTTTGCTGCTTTTATCATCTAAAGTATTATCAAATTGACTGGGCACAGTGGTTCACGCCTGTAATCTGAGTACTCTGGGAGGCCGAGGCAGGTAGATTGATTGAGCTCAGGAGTTAGAGATCAGCTTGGGCAACAGTGAAACCTTGTCTCTAAAAAATAGCTGGGCATTGTGGTGGGCGCCTATAGTCCCAGCTACTTGGGAGGCTGAGGCAAGAGGATTGCTTGAAGCCAAGAATTTGAGGTTGCTGTGAGCTATGACGGCATGGTGCTCTACCCCAGGGCAACTAAGACTTTGTCTCAAAAACAAACAAACAACAACAACAACAACAAAAAACAGTCTACAAAATTGCATCTGAAATATATATAAAGCCTGAACAGAGATTTGCTTAATGGTGACTCTCTCTAGGTCAGCTATTCTCAACCTGTGGGTTGCAACCCTTTTTTAACAATGAAAATACATTGCAGCATTAGGAAGGTTGAGAACCACTGCTCTAGGTAGTGAAATTATGAGTAAGGTTTATTTTATTTTTGTGGTTTCCTTCTTCTTTCAAGGTTTCTATAAACTGTAAATTACTTATAAAATCAGGAAAGCCATTCAACATCTCTACCATACATTATTTAAAATGTGCTATGTAGTTCTTGAGTTATGTAGATATTTCTCTGTGGGACTCCTTATGGGCTGATGGAGTGGAGCAGCAGAAACAGAGGACTGGGGAGAGTTACTGTGATCAGTTCTCACAATCTTCTCTGGAGATAAGAACTGTGTTTCTCGATCTAGAAGCAGATTTTCGCTCCTTCCGGGTTACCCAGAAGTCCTACAGTGTGTCTACCTCCACCCCACCGGCCTTCAGCAGCCGCTCATACAGCAGTAGGGCCCGTGCCTGCATCAGATCCTTGAGCTTCTCTCGGGTGGGCAGCGGCAGCTTCCGGAGTGGCCTGGGCACCGGCCCGGGTCTGGGTGGAGGCTACGCCGGGGCTGGAGGTATGGGGGGCATCACAGCTGTCACAGTGAACCAGAGCCTGCTGAGCCCGCTCAACCTGGAGGTGGACCCCAACATTCAGGCCGTGCGCCCCCAGGAGAAGGAGGTGATCAAGACCCTCAACAACCAGTTTGCCTCCTTCATCGACAAGGTGCGCTTCCTGGAGCAGCAGAACAAGAGGCTGGAGACCAAGTGGAACCTCCTGCAGCAGCAGAAGACGGCTGGCAGCAACATGGATAGCATGTTTGAAAGCTACATCAACAACCCACGGCGACAGCTGGACACACTGGGCCAGGAGAAGCTGAAGCTGGAGGCAGAGCTTGGCAACATGCAGGGGCTGGTGGAGGACTTCAGGAGTAAGTATGAGGAGGAGATCAACAAGCCTACGGAGATGGAGAATGAATTTGTCCTCCTCAAGAAGGATGTGGATAAAGCGTACGTGAACAAGTTGAACCTGGAGTTCCGCCTGGACCGGCTGACTGAAGAAATCGACTTCCTCAGGCGGCTGTATAATGAGATCCATGGGCTGCCGTCCCTGATCTCGGACACGTCTGTGGACAGCACCCACTCCCTGGACATGGACAGCATCATTGCTGAGGTCAGCACCCAGTATGAGAAAATCACCAACCGCAGCGGGGCTGAGGCTGAGAGCAAGTACCAGACCAAGTATGAAGAGCTGCAGATGCAGGCTGGGAAGCACGGGGACGACCTGCGGCGCACGAAGACTGAGATCTCCGACATGAACCGGAACATCAGCCGGCTTCAGAATGGGATCAAAGCTCTTGAAGGCCAGAGGGCTGCCCTGGAGGCCTCCATCACGGATGCCGAGCAGCGTGGGGAGCTGGCTCTTAAGGATGCCAACACCAAGCTGCCCAGCTGGAGGCTGCCGTGTGTCAGGCCACGCAGGACATGGCTCAGCAGCTCCGTGTATACCAGGATCTGATGAATGTCAAGCTGGCCCTGGACATGGAGATCGCCACCTACCTCCAGCTGCTGGAGGGCGAGGAGGGCGAGGAGAGCCGGCTGGAGTCTGGGGTGCAGAACATGAGTATCCATATGAAGACCACCAGTGGCTACTCAGGTGGCCTGAGCTCGGCCTACGGGGGTCTCAAAAGCCCTGGCCTCAGCTGTGGTCTGAGCTCCTTCCGGACCGGCTTTGGCTCTGGTGGGGGCTCCAGCTCCTTCAGCCGCACCAGCTCCAGGGCTGTGGTTGTGAAGAAGATTGAGACCCGAGACAGAAAGCTGGTGTCTGAGTCCTCTGATGTCCTGCCCAAGTGAGCTGCCACTGTGGCCCCTCCAGTCCACCCTCTCACACGCCTGCCACAGAGCCTGTGGGGGAGGCAGCTGTGCCTGGGAGCACACGGGACAGGAGACCCACCTGAGGCTCAGCCTTATCCCTTACCCCATCCTTCTGGGATTTTACCACCTGGGTTACCCCCACATATACCCCCAACTAAAACCCAATTTGATTGCTTTTTCCAAAATAAAGCCTCAGCCGCATTGCCAACCACACACACACACACAAAGAACTGTGTTTCTCACAAAAATCACAAACCGATTAGCCTCAAATGTAATTTTTACCTACAACATCCTATTAATACCAATAATAATATCATTATTAATACAATTATACTGATTATTTCTCTATTCCTATTTTTGTTTATGCCCATTCCTAGTGTTTCCAAGAGATAGATTCCCCATTTCTAAGATTGTTTCTTGGGAAACTAGATTCAGCATTTCAAATAATACAAAGCTAAACCTTCCTGGGTCTATAGATCATCCGTTGTCCCCATAAAAGAGTGAAAGTGATGCGGCTGTTGACAAGTAAACTTTTTTGTGTCAAAAAAGTTGTTTCAAGGACGCTCTTAAGACAGACACATCTGGCATTTATTTCATCAATGTCTGTAGTCATCTTAGTTTAATATTCTAACTGAGAATTGCATGCTGCTAGAGTATAATATCAACTTAACTTTTGAAGCTTTCTTTTCTGCAGAATAAGCTGCCAAAGATAAATTGGGAATAAGTTCCCAACTCTGGGAATGAAGAACTCTAGGAGGGCCCGCTGAAGACTTCTCTGACAATGTAGCAGGAAAACGAATTTGAAATAAACGTTTTCTGAGTAAGTTTTGTGTGCAAGCTCTTTCCTAGCACTATCTGTGCTGTCCCTAGAGTGATATAACAAGGTTTTTAACAAATGGCAGTGCGGATAGTCAGGAGAGACAAAGAGAACAAGTTGAAGTCTTGTTCAATTAGAAAAAGTATCAAGAGTACGAAATCCAAGACTTTATCCTAGGCTGTGACATTTGTAAACATTTCAAAAACAAATCTCTCACAGCGTGGGTAAGACTTTAATTTTGTTTTTGGAGCATACATGCACATATTATACTGTGTCTTAGGCCTGGTAGACTGTAGGAGACAGAATGTGTAATTGCCAGTTGTCCAGAACCCAAATTAGGGACTCACACTCTGACCTTGTATCTGGTACTGACAGTTAGCATGTGTTCTGAGTAACAGAAAACGAAGCTAAGAGAGAATTATCAGTGCTGTTTGTCTCATAGAACAAGAACAAGTTTGGAAGTAGGTGGCTGCTGGGGTTGGTTCCGCAACTTGATGAGGCGAGGGCTGGTGTCTCTAATTCTCTGGGCCCTTCCCTCATGACTGTTGCCTCATGCCGCCACAAGTGGTTACTGCAGCTCTAAATATTGCATCCATATTGGAGGGAGAAAATACAGAATCTTTGCCTTTACCAGGACAGCAGAAAGTCTTCTGAGGACCCTTCAGCCAATTTTTGCCTGCGTCTCATTGACTACTCCTTACTGAAAAGGACAGTGGGGAAAAAAACATCCCTTTGCATCCTCTATTGCAGAAGTATAAAGGGAGAAGTGTTGGTTGAAGGTTCTGAAAGGAAACGGAGAGAGCTTTGCCTCAAGTGTTAGTCCGCGCCTAAAATTGTATGAATGTAAGAAACAGACTACTGCTCATAATATGGCAAGTAGCAATCATCTTTATTCCAAAGGGTCTTTTATAGTCAGTAAGTCACGTACACCACATCCATCAATAGTTAATAATTAACATTCCTTATTCTATCCTAATCTTAAAAGGAACCACTGAACCCGGAAAACTGACTTAAAAACAACCATATTATGTCTTAAGCAACCATGTATTTTAAACTTTATTTCTATAGGGTAAAGAATCAACAGATGAAGCAAGGGGGTAATCTATATTATAAGCATTCAATTTAGCTCTAAGAATTAAGTTTTACAGCTTTGTTTTCAAGGAGCTTGGAAGCCACCCGCTGGAGGATGTGGTCTTATACACAGGTCACCTTAGACCTGTTCCCCTGCACAGAGGGCTATCAACCCTTATCTGCTTGGGTGAACAGCAGTGCAGTCAGAGTTCCATACAGAAGGTGCAAGGTTTCAGACAAGACCCCAATACTCACAATGTTTTTACTTATATTCTTACTTTTTCAAAAGAGTGCAAGTAATGTGAGAATTATCTCACAGAGAAGGGATTAGAAATGTCTTGTGGGTTGGCTAACAAATAGCTGCTACTGTAGACAATAAAAATATTTGAAAGCACAGACTGGTTAAATGAAAACGGTCAACATGAAAATTGGATTCAAAGGTAGATTTTTCGTTCTTTTTACTTTCTAACCTCTTAGCCATGTGAATAATACATGAATACCCGGAGTATTATCAAGCACATTCTGACATCGTATCATTTCACCCCAAACACTCCAATATGTGTCTCCAACAGAGAACTTTTAAAATTAATATGCTAATGATCCTATTATAACATCACACAAAATTACCAAGAGTACCTCATGCTATATTGAAACTAATAAGAGCCTATAAAATAAACTGCAACTAGCTCCTCCACAAAAGTGTCCAAGTCTGAGACTTTGAAAGGTGTTGTTGATAAAACTAGAATGTTCTTTAAGAAACCACAAGCGATGTTGTCCAAGTCTCATCAAGAATAATGTTGAATTCACTCATTTATTTATTCAAGAACACAGTTCCAAGCAGTATCAAGTGCAATTTGGTAAATAGAGCTGAATAGAAGGGCAGTGTATTAGTCCATTTTTCATTGCTGTAAAGGAAATCCCAAGACCAGGTGATATACGTACATACAAAGAGGTTTATTTGGTTCATGGTTCTTCAGGCTGTACAAGAAGCATCACATCAGCATCTGCTTCTGGTGAAGACTTCGGGGAGCTTCCAATCAAGGTGAAGGGTGAAGGGGTAGCAGATGGATCACAAGGCAGGAGAAGAAGCAAGACGGAGGAGATGGTGCTGAGTCTTTTAAACAACCAGATCTCCATGGCTTAATAAAGCGAGAAATACTCTCAGTATCGGGGTGGGCACCAAGCCATTCACAAGCTATCTGCCCCATGACCCAAACACCTCTGATCAGGCTGCATCTTTAACACTTGAGATCAAATTTCTACTTGAGATTTTGAGGGCCAAACATCTAGACCACAGCAGGTGATAATCTGCACTCATTCTCTACGGGGGAGAGTCAAAGAAGACTAGGTGGGCTGTGTCCCCCGCACAGCTGTTGGAAGGTGCTCTTAGTCCAATGATGAGCAGTCAGAATTTAAGCAGAAATAACATTAGAAAAATAAAATTCAAAAAAAGAAAAGGACTATGCTTTAAGAATCTCTACTCTTTTGTACATACTCTATACTTACCAAGAAAACTTTGTTCCATATTATGATTTTCTAAACAAATGCTTCATAAACAAGGACAGAGTGCCCCTAAATTTTAAAAAGGCCAATAATAGAAATTATACTCACCTTCCTTTACTTTTAAATGAATGACTTACCATATCGATTTATTCTCCAAGTTATTTACAGTCCATCAGCCCCTCTAAACGCAGTCATCTTTAAGTAAACTGACAAAATGAGGGTTCTGAATGGGCCAAATGACAGGGACCTGGACACAATCCTTCCAAAGTGCAGAGAGACCAGGGAGCCAGCCAGCCTGGGGCTACTCTGCTGTTTCCCCACCTGGCCCTGCACGGGCCTCTGGTTTCTAGGGGAACTGTGAGTAGCATTACAATCCCCTTCCTAGCATTCATTGGTCTCTCTGTCTCCATAACCACTCAGCCACCTTTTATAACTGAAGACCTGGCACAGATCCGAGTGATTCAGCATACACAGCGCACACAGTGGTGCAGAAGCCACAGGAAACTGATAAGGGATGTCAAGGGAAGAGAGCATTTCAAGAAAGCCACTCACTTAATGTTTATGTAATCAAGTCTAATGAATAAATTACGCTTTCATCTTTCAAAAAATTAGCTTCATTTTGGGGGTTCTTTTTTGCTGTTGATAAATCACATGCTTTGAATTCTCTGTCCTTCAAGGTAGTGAGAAAACATGACGTTCTTACATCATTGAAAAAAAAAATTAACTCCTTTCCCACAGTAGTACAGACGTCGACATCATCAAGGCTTTTAGTGCCTTAGCCTCTGGGCTTTCTGCCTTCCTTTGCTTCAGACCACTGAGCTTGCTGGGAGCCGATGAGCAGAGCCATGGGCCACTAATGGGCAGGCAAAGGGGGACAGTGTGATCAAAGATCTAGCCGAGAGATCATCCCCTAAATGGTCCCGGAACAGACAGCGGAGGAGAGGCTCACTAATGCTTGCTCTGCATGAGGTCAAGGCAGTGTACTCATTACCGAAGTTCTGTACCTGACCTACGTGACCACACTCACTGCTAAAATTCCAGAGTTACACAATTTCCTGTAAAAAGGAAATTGATCTGGCTGGTCATGGAAGAATGACCTGCTATTTTAGACTTAGCGCCTCCTGCTACCACAAGCTGAAGGACTGGGCCGCGTTTGTTTCTTAATAATTCTGCTGGCACAGAGGAGAGGTTAACAGCCAGTTCTCATGGATCAGCAAGAATGAAACTGGAAGGTTTAAACAGGAACCCTGGAGGGAAAGGGATATTGTGTACTGCCAGCCAGAAAGAAACTGAAGTATAATCGGTAAGGAGAATGCTTCCTTGATTTTAGCTGTTCTCAGTCTCAGAAATCTTGATTGCTAAATGCAGATAAGACTCATCCAGGCCATAAATGTTTAAGACAACAAAAAAAGAAATTGTGGAAAATAATTAAAACTTGTGCTATGTTACTCTACTCAGGTTACTAAACAGTTAACTTAAACATACAGTAATTGTTTCTCACAGACTATAAAGGTATACCCCCAGGAATCTGAGATAAAAACTTTTGACAGGAGCAGCTAAGAGGACAAGTTGTTGGCAGTCTAAACGCTTCTCTTTCCTGCAAAGCACTAAGTCTGTCAAGCTTTTTCTGGTGCCTCTCTTCCCTTCTCGTCTCACTCCAATCTAGGTGGTTGTGGTGCATTTCTTGTGTGCAGAAAACTGTCAATTGCACATTATCCAATCTCAGCTTTAAAATACCAACTGTGCTGCCGTTTGACCCCACAATCTCATCACTAGGCATCTATCTACCCAGAAAAAAAAAATCATTTTTAACATAAGGACATTTGCACTAGACTCTATCACAGCTCAATTTACAATTGCCAAGATGCAGAAACAACCTAAATGCCCATCCACTCAGGAGTGGATTAACAAATGGAGGTACATGCACCCCTTGGAATACTATTCAGCCATAAAAAAGACACTGACTTCACATGTTTTGTCATATCCTGGCTGGAGCTGAAACACATTCTTCTTAGTAAAGTAGCACAAGAATGGAAAAGCAGTTATCCAATGTACTCAGTACTAAGATGAAGCCAGGAGACGATCTGATGCCTGCCCACACAGGAGAAAAACTCAATTCAGTTCAAGTTGGGGGAGGGGTAACGAGGGAGAAGGAGGGGAAGGGAGGGTTGAGGTTCCCTCACTGAATGGGCACGGGGTGGGGGGGTTGGGAACACCTTCTGTGTGGGGGACATAACCAGAGGGGAGCTCTACCGAACAAAATCAAATATTTTGAGACCTGGTTGTTTGTACCCTCACATTAACCTGAAATAAATTTACTTTTCAAAAAAAAAAAAAAAGTACCAACTCTGGAGTCACTCTAATGAGATGTGATATGTCAAATGACCCTGCCAGTGGCTGGTTGCTCAGTAGCCCCCCAGTGGCTTTCCCCCTTAATTGAAAATCCTAAGGCTCAGACAGTTCTCCCCACTTGCTGCCACACAGCAGCGACATGCCTTTTGATGGGAAGAGTAACTGCCACCAAACAGGACAGAAATACGGACTTCATCACCCTTCCCGCATTACATCACGGACTGTTTACGATCACCACAGAGGGGGTTAATGTTTAACTGTTTTATTTCACCATCAATCTGGAGGGGTGCAAGAAGTATACATTCTGGGGTCCTCAGCGCCCATTCGAGCAGGCTGGTTTGCTCCTACTGGATGGTTGATTGGTAGAATTTTCTGAAAGAAGGGACTTCCGGGGTGGTTTCTGGGATCACCATGCCTCCATCCCACAGCACTGGCATGGAGTTCAAGCTCCAAGTAGAAAATGAGGAGGAAATGGCTGGGACAGATGCTGGTTCCCATGGTGGCTTCCTGCGGATTAGAATAAAGCCCTCCCCCCGCCAGGGAGAATACACTGCTAGACGATGTCGTCCTCTGTGGGCACCACTGTGGGGGGAGCAGCTTCTTGCAAGACACAGGTTTAGTCAGTGGAGTCTAGGCAGGATTTTTGTCCCTCTCCACTCCTCTTAGTGGACATGAGGGCACAGGCAGCTCAGAAGAGATCTAGAGGCGTCCTGGGCACTGTGACTGCATTTTCTCTATCAGACCATTTAATTTAGAGTATTACCATCTGGTGGGAGGACCCCTCCTCTGTCTTCCTTAACATGGCTCATTTCAATTAATCTGAGATTTTACGAATGAGGACACTGAAGCTGAGGTTATCTTGCTTGAGGTCACATGGTGGCATCAGACTTTGACATTTATCCTGCTGTTTATCTCACTCATCATGCTACCCTCCTGATTTACTTTTCTCCATAGCATTTACTACAAATATCCTCCCTCCCTTCTTTCCTTCCTTCCTCCCTTCCTCCCTTACTTCCTCCCTTCCTTCCTTCTCTCTATCTCCATCTCCAACTCCATTTCTATCTCTATCTATCTCTCTCTATCTCTTTCAGAGACAGAGTCCTGCACTGTCATCCCTGGGTGGGGGCGGGGAAGGCGCGATGGTGTGATTACAGCTCACTATAAACTCGAACTCCTGGTCTCAAGAGCTCCTCCTTCCTTAGCTTCCCCGTAGCTAGGGCTACAGGCATGTGCCCCCACCCCTGACTCATTTTTATTTTAATTAATTAATTAGTTTATTCAGTAGCAACAGGGTCTTGCTCTTTTGCCCAGGCTAGTCTTGTACTCCTGGCCTCCCGTCTCAGCCTGCCAAAGTGTTGGAATTACAGGCATGAGCCACTGCACCCACTGTTTTATTTTTCACTTGTATATTGTCAGTTTCCAAGTGGAAGGTAAGTTTTACAAGGGTAGGTGCTTTATTCGCTGCTGTATCTTCAGTGCTTAGCATCGAGCCTTGTACACAGTGTGTGGGGCTCATCAAATAATATTTGCTAAATGAATGAGCTGTTCAAACACTAGGATGCTTTCTCCTTATACCATTCTATTTGGCAAATGCTTGGAGGTATTTAAGAGAAAAAAATTATATTAACACAAAAATTTCAACTGTTATCTGAATTTTCTTCAGCTTAAAACTTTTAAGTCTGCACATATTCGTGACTCAAGACAGGATTTTACGAAAAAGTCTTCCACCCTAAAATTCACATCCACTGCAAAGAGAGAAATCCTAGACTAATAATAAACAACGGTACTTTCTATTTACTTAGACCAATCTTTGCCTTTGAAGACAAGTTTTCTCCTATGGTTGGTTGATTATTTCAAACAAAGTTATTAACCCTTATTACGCCCCACTAGTTATTTGCACATAGCAATATAGAATGATTTGGTAAAGGTTCTATGCAGATGTGTTCAAAGCTCATAGAATAGATACATTCTTCAAAATAAAATTCTTATTTTTGGTTACTTAAATTTGGCATGCTAAGTATCCTATTTCCTACCTTAAAGCTGCAATTAAATTTTTCGGCTTTTAGAAATACAGAACTGCACCAACTAATAAGGTTTCAATCAATGACCAATTGAATATATGAAGGTGGTCCCATAAAATTATAATAACATGTTTTTACTATACTTTTTCTACGTTTAGATATGTATAGATACACAAATACCATTGTGTTACAGTTGCCTCAAGGATTCAGGGCAGTAACATGCAACAGAGGTTTGCTCTGCTGGGAGGAGCAGGCTGCACAACATAGCTGAGCTGTGTAGCAGGCCATATAATCTGGGTTTATGTGCGTGAATGTTCTGTGATGTTCATGCAACAATGACATTGCCTAATGGTGCTTTTCTTAGAATACATCCCTGTGATTAAGAAATGACTATGGCAAGGAAAGAGCTCCGTGTTTTGATACATTTTACATAATCTTTATCCTGGTTCATTAAAAGCTCACTCCATGCAGGCCACTGGACTGTGGCAGATTGCTGGAGCAACAAAGAAGGCATTTAGAGGCGTTTTCTGCCCTCCTGGAATTTACGCGATGAATAGGAGAAAGCACAGAGTTATGTACTCACTAATGCCTCCAACAATAACTGTTGACTTTTTATTTGTAGTCAGAGAAGCCTGGCAACCAAAAACTAGGGTTTTTTTTTCCCCTGGGTTTACGAGAACTGAACTGAATTGGAAAATATTTGCTTTAATGAAACAATTTACTCTTGTGCAACATTGAATAATGTTAATCGGTCAAATAAAGGAAGAAAGCCGTATTTAAATTCCCACTTCTGATTTCACTTCATTGCGTCTTAGGCTCCAAGAGGAGGGAGAAATGAAGATTTCGATACTCGGTATTTTTTTGTTTTTTTATAGTACTCCAGCCTGGGCCAAAGAAAAGCATTATTACATTGGAATTATTGAAACACCCTGGAACTATGCCTCCGACAGTGGGGAAAAGAAACTTATTTCAGTTGACACGTAAGTTACTATTTTTGTTGTTGATAGACCAAATTCATAAATTATCACTTTAAAAAAATAAAGTCAAGAAGATGAAATATTTCTTTATTTTGTTATATACAGAAACTGCAAAGTGTGGACTTGGAACCCAACACATTTTAATCCACCTCCAGTATAGTTCCTTATAGTTTTTGAGAGGTCACTCTCCTCCTTTTCTGTTGGTCCTGGGGAAATGTGTTGGCCTCTTGTTATCTTCCAGAGTTGTTATTGCATCTCCTGTCTTTCAGGATTCTGTCTTTCTGTCTGTTTATGCAGAGGTACTTATTTAAATAATGACTGTATTGAATGTTTTATTTATCCTGCCTTTCAGTACTTATTCATGGTAAGTAAAATATTTTTGAATCTTTCAAAATATCACTTACGGTAATAAAATACTATTTTATCAAATATGGTTCTGTCTAATATTTCATGGGTGATTCTGAACAATTGCTGGAGTTCATCCTTCACGGCCCCAGCGTCATAATTTGTAAAATGGAGACAATCAGCATTCTTTGCAAGGTTGTTTAAAGAGTGATTGTGTGCAAAGCTCTTGGGAAAGTGCTCGGCACATCATGTGCCCCCCCCAAAATGTTAGACATTTATTATCATGGCATTCAAGCTCCATATAATTTAAATGTCTTCATGTGTCACTTGAAAGTCTCCCTATTTACAGAAATATTCACTGTACAGAAAAACAGAAAAATATAGTTGTCCTTGAATTTTTCTGTTATAGAAGTTTATCTATGCTGAAGTCATCATTTTTTTGTTTAATTGAATGGTAACTATGTACATTAATGCACTTCTGGGGTAGAAGTCATCATTTTTAATAATGTTAATTAAACATTTATCACCAAGTAGAAATTTGGCATTCAAAACCAGTATCCACCATATTGAAAGTGTATTTTAATGGTGGTAAAACACAAACCAGTCCAAAATACCATCAGCTGCTAAGATTCTATGTTTGAAAAGGAACTAAATAAATGTGCTAAAATTCATAATTATTGACTCTTGTTGATATATATATGTATTCTCTTTAATTTTATATTGAAAAAATAAAATAAAATAAATGTATACCTGATAAGATCTGTTTTTAACTTAGTAATATATAGTAAGAAAAGTTCCTGATCTAAAGATAAATGGCTGTAATTAAACTAGTACATCATGCAATTATTTCTCTTTTAAAACTTAGTTTTGAGATTGTATTCCCGTCTTAGAAATATGACATATTTTTACAGCTTCACCAGAAGCATCATTTTGCATGGATTCAGTATTTCCCTGATTAAATATCATGTGAATTATACACGGCTTTTATTTCCAAGGAAAAAGTCAGGCACTTAAAAAATACTGTCCTGCTCTAGGTCGCCCCCACCCACAACCCACTTCATGATCAAAAATCAAGTCAGCTTTAATTTTGCATAAACTAGTGCAAGATGTTGTCTCATCTAAGCTTTAATAAAGGCGTCTCTGGTTCTAGAATTCAAATTCTAGAATCTAAATTCCTAAATCTAAAACTAAGGAATTAATTGTTTTTAAATACTCCTGCCTATCTGTGCCAAGGAGGCTATCCAATGAGTATAAGGTTGGGTTTACCCCATTGTTCTCAAAAGGGATACTTAGAAGGAAAAGTCTTCCTTCTAAGGAAGGAGTTGAGTTCAGCTCTCTTCTCACCATTACCCCAATAATCTCCTGCAGCTTCAACAACCGCCTGGAATCACGCAGACTCTAGATGAGATTGCTCACTTGGTCTGTTATTCCTTTTCCCTGTTTGCTGAAAAGTAAATTTTAAATAGAGCTTCATCCGTTTTGCCAATACTATGCTAACCTTTTGTATAGACGAGCGTAGGGAGCAACTTTCTGCTCCTTTCTTTGTCTCAGATTTGCAGCATGTTCAGCCTGGGCCGTGAAGGATAACGGGGTGCATAAGACGTGGTTGGCTAAACAGGAGTGGAAATAAGCTGGCTGAAGGATACGTTGTAAGAGTGTAAGAAGAGTGTCAGGCAGAGAATTAGGCTTAACCTGGATGTTAACCTTGTAGGTCTGGGATGATGAAGAGGAAAGTGTGCACTGGAGTGGCAGGAGGTCCACGGGTTAGGATCACTGCTTGTCACTAGCACCTAGAATATAGGGGCTGCAAAATAAAAAAAATGTGAATAAATAAAAATGAATGAATCAAAGGCGTATAGGAAACTGGAAGTAATTACAGGCCCTGTTGTAAACACTTTTTCTTCCTCCTCCTATGGACAGATTCACAGTGTAGAATAAATCAGGCAAGAGAATGAAACAGGGAAAGGCAGCTGAGAGGGGTGTGTGCAGACTCCGTGGGACTGAAACATAGACAGATGTGAACAGGGAAAAACTCAGAGGTTTTTTTTTTTTATGGGGGGGAGAGATGCCTAGGAAAATAGAGATTACCTCTCTAGTATCAATGTGAGTAATATATATTTATTTCTTAGAAGGGGAATAGAAAATAATTTCCTTACACTCAGTATTACCAGTGTGTTATCTGCCACTTCAATAAATCACTAAATAGTAAAAGATTCTATAAGATACAGTCCTGAGCTAAGTTATGTCTGTTTAAGCAAGAATAAAAGGCCTACCTATAAAAACAATTAGTAAATACAATAGTGTGTTCTAGGTTCATCGTAGGCATTAATTGTTTTCTGAATTAATTGACTGTATAATAGCAAAAAGTAATACTTCTGTTATCTTCAGGTTACTTTTTCTTTTCTTTTTTTTCTGGAGATCTCTAGGAAGCTGGAAATAAGTGAAAAATTCTCTAAGCACAATAAGAGCCGTAACAGAACCCTTTTACACTTGACTTCATATATTCTCAGGCTTGGTGACTTTACTGATATACAGTTTCTACCAACTTTGTTACCTGGTTTTTCACTCCATTGTAGGTTTCAAAAAATAAATTATATGGTAAAAAGGTTATAAGTGGACCTAATGACCAAGAAGAAATAACAGCTCACGTCCAAAGAAATAAACAACAAAGAACACTCCACTCTATGACATAATCATTATTTTCATTATTATCTTGAGTGATCAATGTACAAATATTCTATAAATGTTCATTTTCACTATTACTATGCAAAAAGTGAACTTTTTCAAGTGTATTTTTCTTAAAAAAAAAAAAAAGCAGGGAAGCAAATAAAATATTTTTAAAGAAAAAACTTGCACCAAAGGCCTTCATCTTACTCCTGTTAAAAGGTAAACGTAGGCCCATTATAATTTTAACAAGTTTACTGGAGCATTCAGCCATTCATCAATTAGGCACTACAGGGCCAAAAACAGTTCAGCTATCTACTAGTCGGGGGAACGTACAAGTGAGGCAACTTTTATAAGTTATTTCTAGAAGAAAAACTAGGATGTATTTGATTGGTTAAAGTAGGAAGTCCCTACTTAGAAATTAGTTGATGGTTTCTGACTGGTTATGTTTAAGTTTCATTTTACTGTTTACACTGAACCAGGTCTCTGTTTTCTTATGTAGAAACCCCAGACACTGGAGCTGTCTCAGCTTTGTGGGCTCCCAATTAATTATTTTAACAACCCTTCAAAAATTCCTTAAAAATTTTTAAATGACTCGGCTCTTGGGGGCCACACCTCCAAGAGCAGTAAGAAGTCTTTTGGGTCCTAATAAATATGGACCCAAGAGCAAAAATAAAAATTTAAATGACTCGTGTACGATTATTAGCTAAAATTATCTGGAAAAATCCAGTTATTACGACTCATTCTCTGAGGTTGCCAAATAAAAAGTAGCAAGCAGTAGGTAATGTGGTATAAATACTTTATATAAGACATCTTGTAGGAAGGAGATAATTAAGTTAATAATAATTATTATTATATAAGACATCTTGTATGAAGGAGATAATTAAGATAATTAATACTTCTCAAACTCTACAATTTATTATCATAGTCTCTATTTCTCCTGAGAACAGAACCCAAAGAAGATGGAGCATAAGGTACTGTATTCAGGCTGTGCTAATGAAGCAGGGCCAGTTAGCACCTGTCATTCACTTACGTTGTGCTATATATATACACCCAGGTTGAGTCTCTGCCAACTTTGCTCCCCAGTTAATTCTTGACTGTTTTCTTTATGATTCTTGTGTGGGGCAGGTAGAATTTCTAAAATGGCCCCCGAAAGATGTCCTACCCGGAATCTCTAGAACCTTTGAAAAGGACGAGATGTTAGTCCGGTAATTTGAGGTTTAGTTGGTGGCACAGTTGACCTTTGGGAGATTATCTGGCTGGGCCTAATCTACAAGCAGCGCAGCCTCTAGTGGCAGAAGAGAAAGTCAGAGAAATTCAAAGGGAGTTGAGGAAGATTCCACTCAACGTTGCTGAGGCGCTTAAGGAACTGGCCAACAGCCAGCAAGCAAACAGGAATTTTAATCCTATAATCCTGTTGAATTTTGAATCCGGCTAATAACCTGAATGAGCTAGGCAGCAGATGTCTCCACAGAGCCCTGGGCAAGGACTCGGTCTGGCCACCTCTTGATTTCAGCCTGGTGAAGAGGAGCCTGAGCAGAGAAGCCAGCCATGCCAGGTCAGAGTTCTGACCCACAGAGAAATACAAATGGGTATTTGTATTTGTAATGTAAGATTACAAATGGGCATTTGTATTTGTAATGTGAGATTACAAATGGGTATTTGTATTTGTAATGTGAGATTACAAATGGGTATTTCTTTTAAATGGCTGTGTGATCGTTCTTTATGCAGCAATAAAAAACTAATGTATTGTGGCTCAATGAATGAAACCAAACATCCAGATACTTTTTTCTTATATTACCCAAGTTTCAGTTACCATAGCTAAGCATAAACCAAGCTCTCAAGTCAATTCTGAGTTCATGGGAGGAAAGAGCATTATTATCTTACTAAAGTAATATTTAAAAGTAGAATTCCCCTAACTATTAAAACTCACTCTGAGTCTACCAGAAATTATAGGTGTTAGCTTTTTTAAAAATCAGGAACTAAAAAGAGGGAATGTGATTACTGCAAGGCGGACACGGCTAGTGTAATAAGCAGAAAAGAGCATATTATAGTTGTTAACAGGAAGAACTACAGTTAAATGTGAATTATTTGTTTGATTCAAAGACGGGCTATCATAGATTCTTGTGGCTGAATATCTGACTGACAAACTTCCTGTAAATGACACTGTCTACAGAAGCTGTGCTGTTGAAATTAAATAAACATCCCCTTAATGACCTTTTAAAGTTTCTTTGGGGACAGATTATAAGCAAATACATCAAATGATATAAAATATTTCCCAATTTGTTTAAGGCTATTTTTTTTTTTTACAATGAAAGTCAAGACAAAAACACCAATTTGCATATTATAATTTATGTAAATGGATTCCAAATGTTAAGACAAAACTTAGCTATATTAGAGCTTCAGATCAATTATTTTAAAAATAATTTTAACTCTGCAAAATGTCTTTGTGTGGAAAAAACGTGTCACAAAGCTTAGGCAATGCTTCTCCTGTTTTAGGATATAATTAATACAGGAGAATTTCAACGAAATGAAAGCATTTTCACAAAGCCTGATATAGTTTATTTAAATGGTATGATATGATATATTCCAAAAATCGATAGAGTCATCTATAAATATACATTTTATTTGAATGAGGCCTTGAGGCCAGTTGCAGTGGTTCACACCTGTAATCCTAGCACTCTGGGAGGCCAAGGCAGTTGGATCGCTTGAGCTCAGGAGTTGGAGACCAGCTGGAGCAAGAAAGAGCAAGACCCTGTTTCTACAAAGAATAGAAAAACTAGCTGGGGTGTGGTGGTGGGTGCCTGTAGTTCCCAGTTACTCAGGAGGCTGAGGCAAGAGGATTGCTTGAGCCCAGGAGTTTGAGGCTGTTGGGCTATGATAAGCCACAGCACTCTACCTATCCCTGTTGTTAAGGCATAATTTATTAAGACTCCTAATAATGCTGTGGGTTGAGGCAGAGTTCACATCTGTGTCCTGATTTTTTTCATGCATTTCTGTATCTTTAAAAATCGCGGTCAGCCTTTCCAATTTTTTTTTTCTGTTTTGCTGTACCAAAATGGGAAATTACAATCATCGGGAAATGAAAACAAATAGGAGATATAAATAAGGGCACACACATGGTTTTGCTGCTCGTTGCTGGGTGCAAAACATGTTACTTTATTTTTCTAACTTCCAGCTCACTCTGTCACTCAGGCTGGAATGCACTGCTCACTGTGGCCTCAAACTCTTGGGTTCAAGTGATCCTCTTGCCTCAGCCTCCCAAAGTGCTGGGATTACAAGCATGAGCCACAGCAGCAGCCTGAGCCCTAGAGTTTTGAAAAACAAGGTCTTTAATCTCTGCAGCAAAGAATTCCAAAGCACCAGGATAAGCCGTCTTCTTGTTTTGAAGAAGGGAAAGAAAAATATATCTGATTTTTTCAGTTGAGCTTACAGCTGAGCAAACAAGACAAAGTTTATTTCTCGGGCAGGTCATCCAGCCCCACAAAGGTTGAGTGACGGTAAAATGTCAATGATTACTGACACAAAAGCAGGCAAACATACACATACACACACATACACACGCATATACACATGCACGTACACACACACACAAATATACGTGTGATGACAAATAAAAACCCAAGATCATGACCAGTTCTCTGGAAAAAGACCATGGTTGTGGAGAGGCTTGTCAAAGCTTAGGATTTGTGAGTTCTTCTAAGTGGCTTCATGACATCACCCACACATCACCCATCGAGACTTCTAGATCCTTCAGTTAAAGTTAATAATGTCAGAATCAGTTCAAAAGTTTGAATATTAACTCACCTCACTTCTTTTTCTTTTTTTTCCCCTTGCTTTCCATTTACTTTGTTGATATTTTGGGGAAAGTTTTGAGCAACGATTAATTGGCTCTATCCATTTTTTTTTAAATTTTGTGGCTGGGGCCAGGTTTGAACCTACCACCTCCAGTATATGGGGCCAGCACCCTACACCTTGAGCCATAGGTGCTGCCCTAATCGGCTCTATCCAGAATACAAACATTCAAAATTAACTCTCTGCAGTAGTGAGGTATTGAAAAAACAGAGGTAATTGAAAGTCAAAGGTAATTTTAAAACTTACGTTACATGCATCATATCTAGCCTTGATTTAGTGCTGCTAAAAGAAAATAAAAATGATAGAATTAATTTAGCTTTGTGAGTTTTACTTTAAGAAAAATGTATATGTAAATATATACACACCCATACTTTGAAGTCTCAAATATCCAGATTGATTGTTTATAGATTCAAATTTTCTAGTGGCTGAAAGAGGTACACTGTACGGGTGAAATGTCTTAGTTAACTGCTTCGTCTTAATTTTTCAGTTAATTTTGTGTTCTATTCCATAATGCCTCTGTGTTTTAATACAAACGGCTTGGGGGGAATACTCCAGTAGGATGGACCATACTTTTACAATGCCTTCACAGATGATTCTCTGCCATCTGCCCGCTGTGGGATGCCTCATGTAATTAGGATAATGGGGTTAACTGCTAGCTGTCCATTTCCTTTCTGGAGGTATCCCAATGGTTAATGTGATGTGGTCATTAATTTCTCTTTAATTATACTGTTATCCCCAGAAATGATGGCTTCTGATAGAGTTGTCTTCTCTTTTTCTTTGCAGGGAACATTCTAATATCTATCTTCAAAATGGCCCAGATAGAATTGGGAGGATATACAAGAAGGCCCTTTATCTTCAGTACACAGATGGAACCTTTAGTAAAACTGTAGAGAAACCAGTCTGGCTGGGCTTTTTAGGCCCTATAATCAAAGCTGAAACCGGAGAGAAAGTTTACGTACACTTAAAAAACTTTGCCTCTCGGCCCTACACTTTCCATGCACATGGGATGACTTACTATAAGGAACATGAGGGTAAGTTTGGCTCATGTCGTAGCTAGAACATCCTTTTACTTGCCTGTAAGAACACTTGAACTTTTAAAATTGGACTTCCCTCCTGGATAAGACTTATCACTATGTCATTTATATTTCAACTATCTTATTACTTAGTATTTTGTTTCATCATACTTGGTTGTGCTTGTGTGCAAATATGACAGGATTCCTAGGTAGACTCAGATAATGTGAGCTGGATCTTCCTTCCCACTATCTAACCTTTTTTCTAGCCAAATAGTCAGAATAAGAGAAATGTGCATTGATGCCTACAAGAAGCAAAAATCCAAAGGGAAGAAGAGGAAGGACTCAAGGGTGGGGGGACTGTCTCACCCCTGAAGTTCCTACATGTGAACATACCGAGGCTGTTGTCACTTGCCCTGCTAACTTTGGATAAAGTCTGTCCCCGCTAAGGTGGCATGAATGGTCTCATACATCAGTTAAATGGTACATGTGACTGGGTGACCACAGAGTGGCAACTAAGATACAGAGAGTTAACCAAAAGGATCATTTGAGTGCAGGTCTCGGAAGCCTTAAAAATGGGAAGACAAGAAGAATGAAGGAAGATAAGTTCTGGTGCCTATGATTTCATTCTTAGTACTTTTTTTCTTTTATTTCAAACAGTCTCCCTCTGTTGCCCTGGGCAGAGTGCTGTGGCGTCATAGCTCACAGCAACCTCAAAAAACTCTTAGGCTCAAGAGATCTTTTTGCCGCAGCCTGCAGAGTGGCTGGAACTGCAGGAGCCCAGCTCAATGCTGGACTAGTTTTTCTATTTTTAGTAGAGATGGGGGTCTCACTCTTGCTCAAGCTGGTCTTGAACACCTGAGATCAAGAAATTCACCTGCCTTGGCCTCACAGAGTGCTAGGATTACAGGCGTGAGCTAGAATACATGCCATTCTTAGTACTTGATGATGATGGAAAGAGGTGATATTTTATTGTAGTGAAGAGCAAATGCTTTGAAATTAATACACCAATGTTCGAGCCCCAGCCTTGCCTTTCACTGGCTGAGTGACGTTGGGCAAGTTTCATAATTACTCTCTGATTTTCAGTTTCCATATCTATAAAACAGAGACAGTGATAGTATTGATAGATAGTAGTAGCCCAACAAAAGTCAGCTATTATCATAAGCAAACATGCTGTGGTCACGCTATGGTTCATTGAAATTATAACGATCAAGTCTCAAAAAATTTGATTCATTATTTGTCTTCGTTTTAAAAGAGGTATTTTTTTTTTAGAAGCTGCAATAGACATTCTGGTGCAAATGTTTTTGTGATAAGACGATTTTATAGTCTAGCAAGGGAGATGGATGAGAAGGGGGGCGGGGGTGGGGAGAAGGGAGAGAAGAGGGCAATTAGCAGGAGAAAGGAAGGCCATTGGAGGAGTGCACCTAATGTGCGTAATGCAGGGGTGTTCAGCCTGCCCCCTCCAGTGACGGGCTCTTCTACAACTTGAACTTTACCTTGGAAGTGAGCACAATGTAACCTAAAAAGGTAAAAAAAAGAAGTTTCAAATTACTGAAGAGGGTGCCATTTTGCTCAGATTTCCATACTCCAACTCCAGGGCAACAGTTATTCTTTACATTGAAAACACAGCGTCACTATTCTCTTGGCATAATTCCCTGAGTGCTCCCTGAACACTTGGTCAAGGATAAAAGATAGCACAAATGTATAAGTACCCTCTCATTTTTCTGAGCACAAAGAAGACAGCCCTGCATCCCCAAAGGTCACGTAGTAGAGGCTGAGGTGGAGGAAGTGTTTGCTGAATGAATTAATGAACGGTGCATTCTTTCAATTACATTCAAACGCATTCACTTTGTAACTTCGTTGCATGTTGGTTTCTAGGGGCCATTTATCCTGATAACACCACAGGTTTTCAGAAGGCTGATGACAAAGTTTATCCAGGAGAGCAGTATACATACACGTTGCACGCCACCGAAGAGCAAAGTCCTGGTGAGGCAGATAGCAATTGCGTGACCAGGATTTACCATTCCCACATCGATGCTCCGAAGGATATCGCCTCGGGTCTCATCGGGCCCTTAATAATCTGTAAAAAAGGTACATTTTCTCATTTTGGCTTCCAATATATGACCCAAAGACAGTGAGAAGGCAATTTGTTTTTTAAATATAAGTGAAGTCTTCCATATTGAGATTAGGAAGATAAGGTAGAGAGGTGGTGAGTCTGGAAAAATGGAAAAGAAAGCAGATCAGGACTAGGAAAAAAGGGATTAATAGGACAAGCGTTCATATAGGGAGAGCGCCAGTGACGCTAAGCTGCAAGAAACCTGTTCTCCTGGAGTCAGGTTCTCTGTATCTAACTTCCAAGAGTCCTGTGGAAAAGACATATGGTTTTATCTTTACCCTTAGTGGCACTGCCTGGTGATCGATTTGTAGATATCTGTATTCTATTGGTAAATACAACATCATAGAATTTATTCTTTGAGGTGGGAGGTTTTTTTTTTTTTTTTTCAGTTCTTGTCGGGGGCTGGGTTTGAACCCGCCACCTCCGGCATATGGAGCCAGAGCCCTACTCCTTTGAGCCACAGGCGCCACCCATACAATTTACTTCTAACATCATGAAAAAGACAAGATAGCTCAAGAGCTTGAAATGTAATTGTTACTTGAACAAAATTCACCTGCAAAGACTTCCCTTGGCCTATGGCTTCATCCATCAGAAGATATAGACTTTATATTTTTTATTTTTATTTTTATTTTATTTTTTTGCAGTTTTCTGGCCAGGGCTAAGTTTGAACCTGCCACCGCCAGCATATGGGGCCAGCACCCTGCTCCTTGAGCCACAGGCACCGCTCAATATAGACATTATTTTGAATTCTGACCTTCTCACTTGCCAAAAAGCATTTACTAGTTATGTGGTCAGTGGCTATCCGGACCCATGAATATTGCCCAAGCTCTGGAGACTGGAACATGACGTTTCTTGATTGTTTCCACGTCTATGAAACAGGAGTATCTGGTCCAGATTTGAGGTTCATTCGGAAAATAAATACAAAATTTTAAATACCCTATAAATGACCTGAACCCATAAGCCAGAATACAGGCTAAATATTTAGTTTTACTAAGATAGGAATTTTTACTTCAGATTCTCTGGATGAAGGAAAAGAAAAAAACATTGACCGAGAATTTGTGGTGATGTTCTCTGTGGTGGATGAAAATCTCAGCTGGTACATAGACGACAACATTAAAACCTACTGCTCTGAGCCCGAGAAAGTTGACAAGGACAGTGAAGACTTCCAGGAGAGTAACAGGATGCACTGTAAGGGGATGCATTACCTTTGCGTTCTTTTCTCCATCCGTTATCTGTGCTAAGCTTATTTTCTCACCTGAAGAAAAAGCGTGTTTTTAGTTTATGGCCCTGATAATAAGGCATATTGGACACGCAAGTTGATATTCAGCTGAATAACTCAAAATCGAAACTGCAAGCCTGGTAAAGGCTACACCAACTTATTCCCAGACTGATAAGGGTAAAACAGCAGTTATGGGTTAATGCATACGTATGTTACACTTACAGATGGACTGATCCTCCAAACTCATTCTAAGAATTATTTGTAAATTATTTAGGAATTATTGAAATTATTAAAGACTTAAAATTATACTTCTATCATAATGCATTTGACCATGTTTAGAAAAGATAGTTCAAACCACTAGTTCTAAAACTCATTTGTGTTATATACTAAGTTGTCTTTCCTGCACCCCTGATGGCTCATCGTTCTGTTCCATGTTTTAATTCACTTTATTTTTCTGAGAAGTGCTTTTTTTGGAGCCTAGGTTGTTTTCTTAATTCTCAGGCACAAAATCATGAGCTTAGTAAGATTATCTATGCCTCAGAATTCGCGTGAGAAATCAAATCCCTTAACACCTGCCAGGCCCATAAGTATAGATTTTTTGCTTGTTTTGTGTTTAGCTTCTTCAAAATAAGCTTTATTCAAAAACTGAGAACACAGAAATAACTACACTACCAAAGTGGAAGAATAAACTAGTGAACGAAGTACTGATTAGTGTTTCCAACTTTTTCTTATATCTGGCCAGAGCGTCTTATTTCTGTACTTTAACTCGGTCTCTGGTGTGAACTAACAAAAACAGCCAGTGAAAGGAAAGACTCAAACTTCTCCTCCCTGTGCATTTGCTTTGGTGTCACGGTCACATCTGGCACCTCCACGGTTCTCCCCAGAGCTAACTTCCACCCAGGGATTTTCTAGAACCATCCAGTTTGAACAACTACCCTAAATTTCTTCCAAGGGTCTCAGGCCCCCCTGCTTTTGAATTTTTGGGTCACTGTGGCTGTGGTCCCCCCACCCCCCAGCCTTCCCCTGCTTTTATTTTCCTGCCTCATATCTCTTCCAATTTCGTCTTCCAATATTTGTTTTAAAAGCTTTCCTGATGTTGTTATTATAAAAGAAAATCATAGTAGAAAATTGAAAAAGTCCTGATGAGAAAAAATATAAACTATCCATACTCCCACTACCATTATGATTGATAATTGATTGATCACTAAATACCCCTCAATCTGCTTTCTAGTCACCATATGATAATTGATGGATTACTGAATAACTCTCAGACTTTTTGCTATTCACCATATCTGTGTTATATATAGATGCACACGTCTGTATTTAGAAAACACACACATACAACCAATGTATGTAAAGGTAGTCCCTGGGCTACAAATGAGGCAGGTTCTATAGGTTTGTTCTTAAGCTGAATTTGTGTATAAATTGGAACAGGAACATTTCCCTATTACCTGCAATAGCCTCTGTTTGTAAGTGAGAGTTGTACATAAGCCAGGGACTGCCTGTAGTTTGTAACAAAGAAAGCAAATAGGTGCCCTTTCCAGTATTGGTTTTATCTGTAATATGGTGTTGACAAAAATTCTCAGGCTGAATTCATGTCCAAAATGAAAGCGTTATGTGATTGATTAGCAATGTCTGACATGGGTATGGCAGGGAGGAATATCAGCATGTGTGCCAGTATTTTCCATCTCAAATTGATTCTATTTTCTGCAGAGGTAATAACTGTCACAATCTCAAGCACCAACGTCTGTTAGTCACAATTTCTGCTCTTGACTTACAGCTGTGAACGGATACACTTTTGGAAGTCTCCCCGGACTCTCCATGTGTACCGAAGACAGAGTGAAATGGTATCTTTTTGGTATGGGTAATGAAGTTGACGTGCATGCAGCTTTCTTCCATGGCCAAGCCTTGACTAACAAGAACTACCGTATTGATACGGTCAATCTCTTTCCTGCTACCCTTTTTGATGCTTTGATGGTGGCCCAGAGCCCTGGAGAATGGATGCTCAGCTGTCAGAATCTAAACCATCTGAAAGGTAGGGCATCTGCACCTGAAGTTATCTGTCAGCTAAGGGAAAGTGATTACTGGGAATCAGAATCTAAAAGCTAAATATATTCGGAATAATCTGAGCTTTGAAGTGCTATCTTAGTTTTGTTCCTAAGCTGGAATATATCGTAATGTAACAAAAAGACTCAAAGACTAGATCATTTGTAAAGTAATGAGATCTGAAAACACTAATTTTTGGAAAAGAACAATTGGCCCTGAAAGTATAGCACTGTATATCATTTGTCAGCTTTCTAGAATGTTCAATATTGTGAAAACCAGAAGATTTGTATATTGTGCTGGAAAGTAGCCGTTTAAAAAAAACTTATTTGTCAGTAGAAACAACGTTGTTCTTAAGTTGATGTGACTTTATAAATCCTTCCTCTCTCTCTTTAAGGTAGGCAATAAAAACATTCCTGTTCTTGAAAGGAAGAATTAGTTTGTAATTTAATGAAGAAATTAGGTTTAATCTAGGTGTTTCGATACGTTACTTTGACCTGGAAACTCAAATATGTCCTGAGTCACAGCCCCCGCAGAGCAGGTGCACAGCCATTTGGTCTGAGAGAGCAGTAAGACTTACTGTGGGCCTCTTCCTCCACCCAACACTACCTCTTAAAATATGTCAAAACTGCTCTTTATTGCTTATTTACAAACTTAGCCTTTTCTCTCATCAAAAAAAAAAAAAAAAAGACACTAAGTGAAACCCGACAGAAATCGGTACCATATTTTGAAAACAAGTGTGCTTAATATCTCTCTGTTATATGTACAGAAAAAGATGTGTGTACTTTTAAAAACTTGAATTTCCATCAGTAATTTATTTACTATTTACCCTCGTTGGTAGCATTGTTTTTGTTTATTTCATCAACTTCCATCTGTCTTCTCACTAACGTGTTTACAGAGAACACGGCTCCATTGACCAATGCCTCCTTCTGTTCCACTTCAGCTGGTTTGCAGGCCTTTTTCCAGGTCCAGGACTGTAACAAGTCTTCACCAAAGGATGATATCAGCGGGAAACAGGTTAGACACTACTACATCGCTGCGGAGGAAATGATCTGGAACTATGCTCCCTCTGGTATCGATGCCTTCACCAAAGAAAACTTAACAGCACCTGAAAGGTAATTCTCAAAAAGATGACTACTGCAAAATGTGTGCTTCCCAGACCCAAGAGAACCACGCAAGGCTGACTCAGCAGTTAAAATCTTCATTGGTATCTCAAATTGAGTAACCAGACTGCTAAGTATTTGTTGAGGTGTTTATTTAGTGTAAGAGTTCAAGTTTGAGAACTACGACTTTCAAGTCCATGAAAAAAAAAATATGGGTTAAAAAGTTATCAAATGCTTGACAAAGTTCTAGTAAAACACTTAATGCATTAGATAAATCAATTAATTCACTTTCCATTTCTAAAGACGTGACATTGTTCAATTTGGCAGCATTAAGTATATTTCTAAAGCTGTATAACCATCATCACTGTACATTTCCAGAACTTTATCATCCGCAATAGAAATGTATCCAGTAAAAACAACCACCCTATTTCACCCTTGTCCCACCACAAATCATCTCGATTCTACTTTACGTCTCTATGAATCGGCCTGTTGTAGGCAACTCCTACAAGTGGGACCATACAATATTTGTCCTTTTGTATCTGATATATTTCACTTAGTGCAATATCTGCAAAGTGTGTTCATGTTGTAGCATGGATCAGAATTGCATTCTTCTTTAAGGCTGAGCAGTGATAGCACACTGTATATATACACACTGCACTTCGTTTATTCATTCACCTGGGTTGATGAACACTTGAGTTGTGTCCACCTTTTGGCTATTGTGAATAATGTTGCTATGAACAATTGCAGTTCAAATATCCGTTCAAATCTCTGCTTTTAATTCTTTGCATATCCACCTTGGGATGGAATTGCTGGATTATCCAGTAATTCTATTTTTATTTTTTTGAGAAACCACCACAGCATTTTACAGGCTCGCCAGCAATGTGGGCTCCAGTTTCTCCACATTCTTACCAACATTTGTTACTTTCTTGCTTTTTTCTTTCTTTCTTTTTTTTTAGACTGAGTCTCACTATGTTACCCTCGTTAGGGTGCTGTGGCGTCCCAGCTCACAGCAACCTCCAACTCCTGGGCTGAAGCAATTCTCTTCCCTCAGCCTCTCAAGTAGCTGGGACTATAGGCGCCCGCCACAACAACTGGCTATTTTTTTGTTGCAGTTGTCATTGTTTAGCAGGCTCGGGCTGGTTTCAAAACCATCAGCTCAGTGTATGTGGCTGGCGCCGTAACCACTGTGCTATGAGCACTGAGCCTGTTTATTTTGTTTTGTTTTTTTTAAAAAATAGCCATCGTGCGTGTGAAGCAATAGTGCATACTAGTTTTGATTTGCATTCTTTAATGACTAGTGAGTGATGCTGAGCATCCTTTCATTTGTGCGTCTTCTTCGGAGAACTGTCTATTCAAGTCTTTTGCCCATTTCTTTTCTTTTTTTTTAGAGACAGAGTCTCACTTTGTTGTCCTCCATAGAGTGTTGTGGCGTCACAGCTCATAGTAACCTCCAACTCCTGGGCTTAGCCTCAGCCTCCCAAGTAGCTGGGACTACAGGCACCTGCCACAATGCCCGGTTATTTTTTGGTTGCAGTTTGGCCCGGGTTTGAACCTGCCACCCTCGGTATATGGGGCTGGTGCCCTACCCACTGAGCCACAGGCGCCGCCCTTTTTGCCCATTTTTAATGGTTTATTTTTCGTCTCCTCCTCTCACTGACTAGTCCTGCCATCTATCTGCTTCTCCACCCAGGGCCCACATCCAGAAGCTGAGTGCCATCCTTCTTTCTCCCAAGTATGGACTCATTATATTCCAAATATCTCTGAAAGCTGTTTTCTTCTCTCCATCTTCTTTGCCAGCACATCTGGAGTCACCCCTAAATCTCAGTGAGATCATGAAAGCAGGTCCCTTACTGGTCTCCCTACCTGCAGTCTTGTGCTTTCCAAAACAATTCTCCGGGCAGCTGCAGCAAGGATCTTCCTAAAACATTAATTCTGAAGGTCTAAGTCTTTCGAAGGCTTCTCACTGCCTGGGGATGGGATCCTGAGACCTTAACTGGGCCCTCCTGCTCACCCCAAAGGTGCCCAGGCCTCATTCTTCGCTCCTCCGTCCTGCCCTGCTTGTTATGCTTCTGCCTCATTTTCTAGAACACATTATGCTCACTCTCGCCTCTGAGCCTCCCCCGAGCTATTTTACCTTCACTCTTCTCCCCACCACAAACGCTTCATCTGACTAACTACTTCTCTTTCCATAGTTGTAAATAGCCACTTCCTCTGGAAAGCCTTTCTGACCTCTTCCCCACCACTTTTCCCAACCCCAGAAGAAATGCTCATAATACCCTGTGCTTATCACACTGGGTTATTTTGATTGTCTATAGTCTGTCTTCACTGGCAGATACAAGGTTGGCCTGAACAGGGAAAAGTCCAGCTTATGGTTATGTCCCCAATACATAGAGTAATTGCCTGCAGGGCGGCACCCATAGCTCAGTGGGTAGGGCGCCGGCCACATGCCAGGACTGGTGGGTTCGAACCCAGCCCAGACCTGCTAAAACAAAAAAAAAA